TGGGAACAGCTGTTGTGTTCAATCCTCGCTCACCTGACTCTTGGAGAAATACCATGTATCAGCTACGACGCGGCCTATCGTGAGTGGCGAGGGATCAAGCAGGGGTGAGAATGAGAATTTGGACGGCTTCCTTTTACGGGAGACGAAGGCTTTCCGCAACCTCACTGATGTTTGCTCTTACCTTCGGGCAACTCATCCTTCTCCATATCAGCGTGCGGTTGTTATACTCAAGAACGTTGGACGATCACTTTCGACGGCTTATTCTGTCTATTTAAGACAACGAAGGTTATCCCCATTGGATGTTGAATATGATTCACTGGTGGCGTGGCTTCGTACCTATCAAGTGACCTCTGCATACCGCTTTCCCTGGGAAGGAGAGCGACCAAAACCTACATCCAAAGTGGTCGAGGGCTCGCAGAAGGCCTCTGATGGAACGACACCTAAACCCAAGAATGATGACCATAAGTCTAGTCCTACTCGGAAATTCCCTCCTGGAGAACCAATGAAAGAAGGGAATGGCGGCAAGCCTCAGGGCGACGGAAGGTCTCAACCTAGGACTGAAAAACGTCCAAATCCTGGAATCAGCCCAGGAGAAGAGGCGTCGAAAGGTCCGCGGTGTCCACACTGTAGACGACGAGGTCACAATAAGGACAACTGCTGGGCCTTGCACCCAGAGTTGCGCCCAGCTAAGTCGGGCGATCTGTCCAAGAAACGAGTGGTAGCCGCCGTCGTTACATCCCAAGAGGGAGAGACCGTCGAGGAGAGTGTTGACGTCGAGTCTGTCGAGGAGAATCCCGACATCGTGTTCCCGGCTTTTCACGTAGCTGGCGGCAGGATGGTAGCAGTCCCAGTTACCAGTTACGGTCGGGAGGTCCTACTCGTTCTCGATAGTGGCAGTGTTCACACCCTTATACCTGAGGATACTATCGTTAGCCTCGGGGTCAAGCATAGCATACAAGCGCTAGATCGGCCTAGTATTATCCAAGGTATCGGTGCGACTGTCACCTTAACCTCCAAGATCTCTCTGAAATGTTCGATCTTCGGTGCAGCTTGTAAGCTTGAGGGCTTGGTGTATCCAAGGAAGCTCCTGGATACAGAGTCTCCGATGATACTTCTTGGTTTGGGATCTATCCAGAAAACGGGTCTAAACCTAGACTTCCCTACTCTTACCGTATCTTTGAAGGCGTTGAACCTATCTTGTCGGTTGGTGGAGGTCAACAATGCTGCAATGGCGGCAACTTCGAGGCCAGTCCCGAAGTCATCTGAAGAATCTACCTTGCGTATCGGCGACTCATCCGAGAAGGTAAAAAAACTCATCGCCCAGCGGCTCAAGGGCTGGGACTTCCCGGTGGTCAAGGCAGTGAGGCGTGAAGGTGTG